GGTGATACTGTATCGGTCTATAAAGGTTTAGGATCAGTCATTTGAAATAGTAGGGCTCATGCAGTTTCAAGAAGATGTATGTTCTTCCTTTCTGCCACTCTTTTTTGAGATGGAGTATCAACACAAGAAGTTTTGTGGAGCATACCATTTTGAACCATAGAAGATTGAAATAAAGTTGACGTATATTCTTTTGTATTATCACTTCGCAAAGTACGGATCGAAACATTAAATTGATTTTGAATCTCAGCACAAAATGCACAAAAAATAGAGAACTCGGAACGACTCTTCATTAAATATAACCAGGTTACACGAGAATAATCATCCACAAAAGTGACAAAATACTTAAATCCTGGTTTAGACAAAATAGGACACGGACCCCAAATATCAGAATCAACCAATTCGAAAGGAACTCTAGCACGTTTATTGGCTCTTGGACTCGAACTCAGACGATGGCGTTGTGTAAACTGACACGACTTACAATCTAATGAAGACACCGTACTGAACTGTGGACAAAGTTTCTTGGATTTGCAAGTACTGATACTCCCTCGTGTCAAAACATCCCCCCGACAAGTATCCAATGGAACTAATTCCCCACACAAGAGTTCAACGGAACTAATTCCCCACACAAAAGTCCAAAGTAAATCACAAATAACTTGGGCCTAATAAAACCTAAGCCCAAACAAAATTATATTCCACCAACAACTTGAGCCCAAACAACTTAAGCCCACCAAACAAATCAAGCAATTTATCTGCCTAGAACTCAAATGTTGCCCAAAATAATAGGCCCAAACCAAACAAAATTACATTCTCAGTGGGAAAGGCCCAAATAGAATTACAGAAGACTCATGCTGCTACTAAGGAAGAATGCACTGTGTGTGAAAGGTAATTCTCACCACATGAAGAAGCCGAAGTCCAACCGTAACTAGAATCTGCTCCAGCAAGGCGATCGATTATCCGGAAGAAGGAACTTGAAATCTTCCAGCAGCCGGTCAACCCAATCGACAATTGTACGACTAAGTGAATACTTCGTAATCTGTTGATTATTCCCACTATCGAGCAGATGAAGCCAAGAGTCACTGGCAACAAAAAATTGACGGTCACAGAAAGAGGTAACTTGTCCTATACTCAAAACTTCCCAAAATCGAGACCACCAAAATGTCAAAACCAGAGAAACCCGAATAACTCGAGTTTCTTGAACTAAAGAGAAATACCAAAGAATTCAAACCTAATTTTGTTTGTGGCTCTGATACCATGTTAAATAAAAGTATTCTTATTTCACTTTATTCATTGGAGAAACAATAAATATATATACAAAGCTTAGGAAACTATTTTAGGAAACTACACAAGTTAGGAAAACCTAGAATTAAGGTAATTAGCCAACTAACATAACCTTTAACACTTTCGTTGCCATCTTTTTTCTTCAATTTAGTTTCTTAATTGTCCTTTATTTTTTATTAGTCCACTCCTGGCAGCAAGTGCTATTGTCTAGTCTTATGTCCAATAATTGCTGGTTGGGGTTATAGCATTTACTGGGATTTGGGTTTGGGAAAGATAAATAACCTTTCTGGTTCTCTCGTGAAAGAAAATTTTCGATAATGGTCACTCTTTTACATCCCAAAACGTTGGCGCTCTTCTTACCTGATGGCATTAGTCTGTTACTCCTTTTTGTGCATATATATCTGAATTTTTTTTGTCATTATTACATTTGAATTTTTTTCACTGTCAAGTACATGCAGTCTTCCATGGATGCTTCTGACTCTGATGGTTCACACTGACACGTGCATGGATGGCAAGACAGTTATACTGATTTGCATCAAGATAATGATCTTGTGCTTTGCTTGTAATGTGATGTTCAACATTGTTCTAACTTTTTATAATTTTTTTCCTTGTTTATGATGCATCCTTCATTAGATGTTCTGTGTCCTCGTTGTTTTGATTGTTTGAATGTTGGTCTTAAGAGGTTTTTATTGATCCAACTCTTAGATTACGGGGGATAAGGAGAATACAATTTGTTCTAGTTGCTTTCTTTGAACAGGTACAGACTATCTGAAATAGTAGGTTCTGAGATTGGTGCTGGCCTCGTTGGTCACCTGCATCTGGACAAGGTTTTCAATCATTTTGAGGATATTGTAGTTTTCATATTTTGTTCAGAATTTTTGGCTGATATTACTCGTGTTCTCTTAACTTGATTGAACAGTTGCAGCTGATACAGTCAAATATTAGCATGAATGATATTCTCGAAAAATGTCAAGACACCATCAATCTATGTCAGAAGAAGAAAAAAGTGGGCAACCTGTTCAAGAGAATAGATTTATCGTTCAGGTTGGTTTTTGATTGCTGAGTATGCAATTATAGTTTTTGGACATGCATCTTGGTTTATTCAGTGTTTTCATTTTCATATTGCAACTTGGCCTGTGAGTTCTCCACATAAAAATTGGCTAAAAGGTTGTAACTTTCTGTTTCCAAACTGTTGCCAACCTATGACAGATGCGATGCAGAACATTATCATAAAATTGACGTCCATACATATCGAAGCGTACAATTATAATATGTTGTGGATGTAACTAAGTTTCTCTGACATCCTGTAAGAGAATAATATATATACTAATAATTGGTGTGATTGAAGATCATTTGCACCTTCCTATGTAGACTAACAGTTATGGAAAGATTTGGATTGGCCAGGCAATCCCTAAATAAATTAAGGCCCCGTTTGACACTCATTCTCATTCTCATTTTTTTTCGCTTTCTTCATTTCAATCACACATTCTCCAAATAAAATAATATTACACACAAATCAGAAACTTTTCATCACTTTTCCACCACACATTCTCACATCAATCACTATTCCAAAATTTCTATTCTTCTCAAAATTAGATTCAAACTCAGAATTCATTTTTTTCCCCAAAATAGGTGTCAAACACAAGCTAAGAAGTTTGTTGGGGAGAGTTGAACCATCACAAAAGGAAAGATAACTTATAATATAAGCACACATAAATTTTGGCTTTGGGATCAAAATGAGGAAGATCCTATTTCCTTCTAGGAATGTCGAAAGATCATCGTGCGAGGATTGTGAAGTAGTTCCTAGTGAGAACTATCTATGCATCATAGGTGGTGGTACTGGATGTGGTTATTTGGTTCAATTATTAACAAGGACTTGTTATGCATAGGATTGGATACAGGCAACAAATTGAAGGTCAGGATAGGATGATTTGGGTGATTGATTCATGTCTTGGGTATACATAAAGATATTCCCATTTACATAGGAGTAATATGATCAATAGATCTGTCAGAAGAGCGAGAAATAGATCATAACATGGCTTGATATGATTGCAAATGTTTTGATTTTATTGGATTGAAATCACGTATAGAGATGGAATGTTTGGAACGGTAAGGAAAGGATTCATACCGACTCAAATTTATAGCGAGTAATGCTTAGTTTGTAAGCAGTGTTGTATATTTACATGCATTGATAAAAAAGCAACTGTGGTATTTGGGGCTTGTTTAGAATGGTCGGCAATCCACCTTTCTGTAACGTTGCATGGCAAATTGGCAATATCCTCATGATTCCAACTTTTCGCTGTCCTAACTTTCCTAGCATATAAACTTTATGGTCATGTACCATCCAACCATTTCAATCATATGGGCTCAAGTGAAGAGTCATAGCTTGGGTAATATATTTTAATGGTAACATGAATTGTCAAATGGCACAATATTTTATGGTTTCTTTAATTTTGCTTCCAAATTAATTTATTGCTTAATGGATTAGATAGCAAATAACTCATAGCAACTATGTCCGCTAGGTTAGATTATGTATTTGATAAGATATTCTAATTGCAAAGCTGTTCGTTTCTTTTTTTCTGATTGATTGTTTCTTCTTTAGTTTAGCATCAAAATTAATTTTTTCATTGTTTATGATTGGACCAAACACACAAGTATTAGATATTGAGACATATTTTAATTGTCTGCAGCAATTGTTGTTCTTTTCGCCACTCTGCCGAAAGCAAGTCAACCGACATTCCATGCTTGCAGTTCTTTTGGATAGGGGCAAATGATGACCATTTAGAGAGGATTTCTCATATTCTTGCTGATACAGTTTGCCCAGTGTTGTTAGAAACAATTATTAAAGGTATTTATATGATTTGTTTCTAGTTTTATTATCTATACATATCTAAAAGATTCTATTTTTCTTTGTGCTATATAATATCTAGTCATATTTGACCTAGGATGTAATTAGTTCTATTTTGAGAATATCCTAGTTCGTTCAAGAGTTAGTAGTGTTATTACCTGTAATAAAAACTTCTCAAATTTCTTGGTTTCTGTTCCTTTGCATACTGTGCTTTATTGTTGGAAAGAAGTGGATTGTGGACCCTCTGCTCTGGGTAAGAGGCTGTACTGACCGTGGACGTATATTTAATCATGAATCGGCAGGTGATCCTATGGTTCTTGCAGCGAATATAATTTGGATTAATTCTGACGCAACTTCGAGTAGGAGCCATTCTAAGAACCAAAAGGGTGAGTTGGCTCTTGATATAATTCTTGAAAAAAAGGCTGTCAGAAAGAGTGGCGATGCCTGGAGGGTTGTCATGGACTCCTGCTTACCGGTCATCCATTTGATTGATATCAAGCGTTCAATCCCGTATGCTGTAAAACAAGTGCAAGAGTTGCTTGGTATTTCTTGTGCGTTTGAGCAAGCTGTTCAGGTATCTTCAAATGTCTCTTGCCACTCTCACTGTCTACCTCACTCTTGCGCCATTGCATGTTGTCTCTGAGATATGCACACCCTCATGGAACTTTCATGTTTTTTTGAGTCATTGTTTATTTGAAGATCTACTGTTACGTTTATATCTTTTCCTCTGTTTATTTGGGGGAGGTGAGGTGTTCGAGAAGGATGAGGATGTTAAAAGAGAAATCGTTTCTATCTTTCGACATAATATATTTGAAAAATTGAAATGTAATGTGGGGGATCGGTCAACGGAGGGAGACACGGTGCTCCATTTCGGAATAACAAAGGCATGGCAAGGGAAAGAGCTATTGAGCCAGTGGAAATGAAGGCGGTCATATTTTATTATGATAAAGTTGAGCGTCCACGCCCAGACAATTCTCTTTGGCAGTATATCAGGATTTTTGGGATATTATTAGAGGGAATCTGTTGAAGACTTTTTAGGAGTAATATCATAACGGTGGTCAGTGCTACAAAAATTTCACTTTTTTTGTGCCTCGTTGCAAAAAATCAGATTCCAAAATTTGAGATTTTCTTCTGGTTAGATTGGTTATGAGCTTGTATAAGGTCACTGCTAAATTTAGCAAATAGGCTTTGTGAAGTTACAAAGGAGAGCTTTTTGGATAAGTAGGGGCCTTTGTGAAGGGAAGACCAATTTTAGATTTGTTGTTGGTAGCTAATGAAAGGGTTGAGGAATACAGAGCTATGAAGAAAGGGGCTAGTTTGAAAAGGCATGTGTCATGTAGATTGGGAGTTTTTAGATTCTTCCATAGAGAAGAAATATTTTGGTTTGAGGTGGAGGAAATGGATTAATGGTTGTCTTAGAATGGTTTCATTTATCTGATCATTATCAATGGCAAAGCAAGAATAAATACATGGCTTCGGGAGGATTGAGACAAGGTGATCCATCGTCACCTCTATTTTTCACATTAGTGGAAGATCTCGTAAGGCAGCTAGTAGAGAGGGCAAAAGAGGCTTCTTTGTTGGAAGGATACGAGACGTGAAAGTAGACTGTTGAAACCTGTTGGGGACCTCTAATACGCTATAATCTATTTCTCACTCTCACACTTTCAGTGCCATTTAGGGCGTATGTCTCACATTTACAATTTGCAGATGACGGTGTTGGCTCCTTTTCGTTCTCGTCTAGGAATATTGATTTTTCACGTTCTTATTATGTCTTGAGATAGAGCTACGTTCAGAGTTTGGCATCTGGGATTGGTTGTTCAGTTAATTCTGAAATGTTGGGCCTTCACTGTGTGGCAATCCTTACTTTTATGACTTTTGGTCAGTGGTCAGTGGGAGAGCGACTGAAAGCTGGACGATTGGAAGAAATTTCCCTTCTTTAGAAGGTGTAGACTAACTTGGATTTAAGTTATTTTGTTTAGCATTCTAATGTATTACATTTCAAGGTGTAAGATGCTGAGTCAGGTGGTTGCATGAGTAGAAAGATTTATGAGATATTTTTGTTGGAAAATGGGGGAGAAGGTCAAAGGAATCATTTGGTAGCTTTGGATTTAGCTTCTAGAAAGCAATAGCAGAGGGGGGTTGGGAGTGGGTATTCTCAAGTTACAGAAAATGGCGTCAGAGGTTTTCTGTGGAGCTACTATATTTATGTGGAAGGGTTGTGAAAGTTAAATATGGATTAAAATAACATGGATGGGAGAGGCCTTTCTTTAGGAACTATTTGAAGTTGGTTGTGAAAGTTAAATATGGATTCAAATCACGTGGATGGGAGAGGCCTTTCTTTAGGAACTATTTGAAGTTCATATATCTAGGTTTTTCTTATTTCATTCTATTCACTATCTGGGATTTGGGGATTGGACTATAGATAAGATTCGGGGAAGATGTTTGGTGGGGCATTTCTTCTTGGCAGTCCTGGGATTGGAAAATGCTGCCATTGAATTTGTCGTTGGAAAACAATTTCATTCCTTAGCATTTTAAGTTTCATTGAGGTTTAAGGGATAGTGAGCTACCATAATTATCTTCTTTGTTATCATCCTTGTGAGTATTTCTCTAAGGCCTTATTTTTCTGATAGAAGGTTGTGGGAGCTGGAGACCTGCTGGGTATTTTCTTGCAAATCCTATTTTGTAGAGTTTGCCCTTATATGAACCCTTCTTTCATTTGGAAATCGTGCCCTTATGGATTGATATAATTGCTTATAAGTAGAATTAGAATATCAAATCACGAAATTGAGATTTTGATGTTTTTATGTAATAAAGTAATTGAATACTATTATTCATTCAATCATTAATAAAATTATATTTTAGTTATATTGGAATATTATGAAATTTAATAATCAACCTATAAAATTCATAAAATTTATTATTTTAAGAATGTTAATTTACAATAGTATATGTTTAAAATAGATATTATTTAGCTTGTGTTTGACACCCATTTTGGGGAAAATGAATTCTGGAATAGTGATTGATGGAAGAATGTGTGGTTGAAAAGTAATGAAAATTTTTAGATTTGTGTGTAATATTATTTTATTTGAAGAATGTATTGTTGAAATGAAGGAAGAGAAAAAAATGAGAATGAAAATGGGTGTTAGCGTGAAACCCGCAATCGTACGGGATCATTGTACAAGTAATAAGATTGTGAGTTAAAAAGAGTATTGTTCCCACGAGGAATAATGTCTAATTTGTAGTTCAATAGCTACTATTAAATTCGAAGTGTGATAATATAAAAAAGAGATGATTGGTATGCAATCTTTAATAATCCTAAACTAACAAAACAAATGAAACATTTATTTATTATGTAAATGTTTNTTTTCAAGATATATTAAAAACATGTTTAATACGACCCGATCATATTCCTAGTCCGAATTCATATGAAAAACATGTATTAAATGACAGGATTTATCACACATGATTGCACATGTCATAGTACCTATTGCCGCGTTCTACACTTATTGTGAGTATTTCTACACTACAACAAATAATTTATTATATAATTTGTTATTAAGCAATCAAATAGTTTAATGGGAATACAAAATCAATCAAGAAAAATCAAGAAATATTAAACTAATTATTTTGAATTAAAATAAATAAAAAAAAGGGTTCATCATTCATCCAATACAATGAAATACTTAGCATAACATTTTTATAATTAAATTACACAAGAATAATAGAAAAAAATCATCCGAAAATAAGAAAGATGGAAGAAGTAGGAGAAATCCATGTTCTTGGCTCAAATCTTGAAACCGGGCTTTGAATCTTCAAAATCCTTGTATGATTCACCTTGAATTGATGTATAGACTTGTTTTTCGCCTCCAAAATATGTAGAATATGATGAAATTTAGGTTCAATGGAGGTCTCTCCTTTTTTTCTTCAAAATACGGCTCTCCCCTCAAAAATCCGAAAAATACTTTTTATATCAACCCTAGAAACTCTCAAAACAAGATAAGGAAACAAACCTTTTTTTTCTTGTCCTGGCTTAAGGCGTGTGCCTAGTAGAAACTAGGGCACTCGCCTTAGCCTTTAGGTAGGTATCAGTCGTGGCCAATTTGAAGCGAGGCGAGCGCCTTGCCTGCAGGCGAGGGCGCGCGCCTTAGGGCTATTTTTGGCAGTTGACAGCTCTCAGTATTTTTATCATAACTTTCTCTCCCGATATCCAATTGAGTTGATTCAAATTGCATTGAAAAGCTGACTCGCAGGGCTACAATTCTTTCAGAAATATCATTTTTCCAATTCAAAATATTTCTATGCCAAAACTGAGTCGCAATGTGAGCCTGAAAATTCGAAGCATAACTTTTTCGGCTAGAAGTTGATATGTGATAATACTTGGACTATATTTCATCCCTTTGGCTTCTTTCCTCATTCAATTGATATCTAACACTCTCAAATCTTCATCGCGAGGTTCGACGTAACTTTTGAATATTTATATTTCAGTCCCCGAACTTTGTATTTGATACAATGGAGCCATTTCCCGCTATCTTTGCATTCTTTTCTCCAATTCTTCATCAAACATTGAGTTTTACCTACGAAATGAAATATAACACAAATTAGGTAGTATTTTATCCAAAAAAACAGTAAAATATCATCATTTAGGACCTCGATTAAGTGTAGAAACTACACTTATCATCAAACATGGCCTTAAATTGTGTGATGTCGTAATAAATATTATTGTCTCTCACTAGGTTCATTGTGGTTTAATTGCAATAGCTGCAGATTCATAATTGTGTAGTTTTTTGTTCTTAAGTCAGTTTTGCAGAGTTTTCTAGCAATAATATACCCTCTGTGAAATCTTTGATCAGGCTACTAAATTTTAGTCGTAGTTTTTTGTTTGTTGTCACTTGTTTAGATTTCTTTATTTGTCTTTCCAAAAGCATAACCTTTAGTTTTATTTTATAGCGTCTGTCCACATCCGTGACAATGGTTACAAAAGGTGTGTTGAAAGATCATCTCCTTTTGTTGGCCAATAGCATGACATGTGGTGGGAATCTGATTGGTTTTAATGCCGGTGGTATTAAATCATTGTCAAGATCACTTAATCTTCAAGTACCATTCATGGAGGCTACACTGTTTGTAAGAACATTTTCTGTTTCTTGATATGGATTGTGTCGTTCCTATTCTTTGTTATCTGTCATTCTAAAGTATATTTTGTCTTGTCTCTGCTTCAGACCCCAAGAAAATGCTTCGAAAGAGCTGCTGAAAAGTGCCATGTAGATGCTTTGACAAGCATTGTAGCCTCTTGTTCCTGGGGAAAACATGCGTCTGTTGGCACAGGATCGCCATTTGAAATTCTTTGGGACACTAGAAAGGTGCAGTCACTTGTTATCTGTTCCTGATATCATTTTGTTTTTACTTCAGGGTATACATTGACAAGCACTTGTTTGATGATGTGTTGAATCTGTTCTTTGGTGGTTTACATTAGAAATAATCAGCAAGACTAATGTCTGAATCCCTTTTTTTGCTAGGCTGAGTTGAATCAACAAAATGGACTGAATGTCTATGATTTTCTTCATTTGGTAAGCAGCAGCTCCAAGCAGGAAAATATGGGTACTAGTTGCCTTGGTGAGGAAATTGATTATCTGGATCAGGAAGATGAATACATGGAATCTGACCTGTCTCCAGTCCGAGATTCTGGTATTGAGAAGCCAACATTTGAAGATGGAGATAATTTTTCTCTTGAAGAGAATGAATGGGTACAGACATCTTCTATAACTGGCAAATCTAGTAGTAATTGGGAGCAGGTAAAGAAAGTCGAAAGTCCTACTCGCTCTGGCTGGGGGATTGAGAGAGAGAGAGAGGATGATGATTTGGGTGGCAGTTGGGGGAAGGTAGTTGAGAAAGTAAAAAACTCAACTCCTTCTGGCTGGGGTGTTGACAAAGGTAGGAAGGATGATACTTTCTCTGAAAAGGTACCCAAAGATTCTCCAAAGAATAACAGGTCTGCTTGGGGGAAAAAGGTCGATTCTGCTGAAAAATGGAGTACAGAAGAGGCTGAACAAAGTACTTGGGCTAGTGCAAATGCATCAAAATCTAGCAGTCAGTCCAGTTGGGGGCAGGTAGTTGAGAAAGTCCAAAGCACAACTCCTGGCTGGGGTTTTGATAAAGGTAAGAAGGATGATACATTCTTTCAAAAGGCACCAGAAGATTCTCCGACGAACAGGTCTGCTTGGGGGAAAAAGGTCGATTTTGTTGAAAAAGGTCCTACAGAAAATGCTGAACAAAGTACTTGGGCTAGTGCAAATGCATCAAAATCTAGTGGTCAGTCCAGTTGGGGGCAGGCAGTTGAGAAAGTTCAAAGCTCAACTCCTGGCTGGGGTGTTGATAGATGCAAGAAGGATGATACAGTCTCTAAAAAGGCACCAGAAGATTCTCCAAAGAATAGCAGGTCTGCTTGGGGGAAAAAGGTTGATTCTGTTGAAAATGGTCCCACAGAAAAGGCTGAACAAAGTACTTGGGCTAGTGCAAATGCATCAAAATCTAGTGGTCAGTCCTATTGGGGCAAGGATGTTCGTAGGGAAGATGGTTCCCCGACACAGACTCAAGAATATCAGTCAGTATCTTTTTCTGCTTGGGGTAAAAAGCAAGATTCCGAGGGAAAAGGTTGGATGGAAAAAGACGATCAGAATAATTGGTCGAGTGCAAGTACACCAACACAAAAAGGTCATTCCAACTGGGTTAGATCTTCTGGTGAGAAGGATTGGAGCGGAAAGGATGATCGAAATACATTGGTTAATGCTGGCACACCAAAGTCTAGCAGTCAGTCGGGCTGGGGCAGAGAGTCAGATGAAGCAGGTTGGAACAAGAAGAAAGACCAAGGTAGATGGGCCATTCCGAGTGCACCAAAGGATAATAATCAGTCCAGTTGGGGCCGGGATGCAGCTCAGATGGAAGATGTTATCCCTGCTAAAGCTCAGGAGGATTCTAAACGGGCTACAGATTGGGACACATTAGGTTCTGATAGTGGACAAGATGGATCAGGTTCATGGTCGTCTTGGGGGAAGAAAATTGCAAAATCCGATGAAATCGGTAAAAAGTCTGATCGCTTGATTTCTTCAGCCGATGGAGACTCTATTGATGTGTTGCATTCAAATGAAAATCTATGGGAAGCGAAAGTGGCTGACCATGGCAACCAGTCAAAGCCTTCTGCTTGGGGCGCTTCAAATGATGGGGGTAAGGTTGATTCACAATCTCCCAGGGAACAAAAGAAAGATTCTCCAGTCAGTACTTGGAACCCCACTCCTAAAGAGTCAAATGACTCTGGTTTTGCACCGCGTAGACATTTTGCTGGTAGAGGGGATTCAAACAGAGGTCGAGGTAGGGGTCGCTCCGGTGGAGACTGGAAGAACAATAGAGGTAGGGGTCGCTCTAGTGGCAGAGGAGATTTTTCTGATGATTTCAATACACTTGGAACCTTCACAGTGACGAGGCAGCGCATGGATTTATTCACAGTGGATGAACAAGACATTCTTTCAGATGTTGAAGCAATTATGAAGAACATCAGAAGAATTATGAACCAAACAGGGTAACTTCTTCTTGCCTTTAAATTTATTATTTACAGTTGTTTCCTACTTTTGGAGATCATATTATGTGCAATAATGATATGAGAACTAAGAAAAATAAACGCTTTATTTTTGTTTTGTTTCTCATGATTGATGAGATAATGTAGTGGATGTAGTGACAAACCCAGCAGAGTAGAGAGAAAATTCATATTGACTACCTCAAATTTGTTGAAAAATAAGATTTAGTGTGTCGCTGTTGTCACGTAATTTACAGTATCATCAATATAGGCTGGAGAATTCTTACAAATTCACTTGAGTTGATATAAATTATTCCAATAGTGTCGTGAAGTAGAATGAATGCCTGCGTGTGAAACACATTCTTCCCTTTATTCTCTTTCAGCTAGCTGAGAAGAAGTTCGAATCAATATTATCAACTTTATGGATCAGTTTCACTTTCCTCCATCGTGTTATTCTCTTGAAAAGGGTAAAAAGAATAGGAAAATACAGGGACAAATTACTATACTGGAGGAACACCTTTGATTAATTTGTTTACAAAGATTTCAGGGTTTGGATTTCTTATTAGGTCAAACTGATAAAATCTGAATCTGAAATCTAACCAAGTAACTTTTTTGTGAAGATACAATGATGGCGATCCTATATCTGGGGACGACCAATCATACATGGTGGATAATGTGTTGAATTATCATCCTGATAAAGCTGCAAAGATGGGAGCTGGATTGAAGTATATCATGGTAAGCTAATTTGTTCTTCATTGATCTGTTAAATGTCTTTTTTCATGTATCTTTGTGGTGTGCTTCATGGATTGCTATCACTAATTCATAGAATCTTTCTTCTTGAGCAATATAAGCTTTCAACGTCAAGATATTTTTGACATCAGAATAGATGAACTAAACCTATGCTCATAAAGCCTTTCAAAGGAAAAATTGATGTTGAATCTATTTTGAAACGTTATTAGATTTCTTGCACGCACTAACATGTTCACACTAACAAACATGTGTTTTCGTGGCTGTATTGTCTAAGTTCTGGGCAAAACCTGCTCCAAATTAAGCTGTTCTTTATTTTAAACAAATTGTTGCATATACTTAGGCCTTGTTTGAGACACATGATTTTTTTCATTCTCATTCTTATACTCATTTTCAATTACACATTCTTCAATAAAATAATATTTTTCATCACATCAATAACATTTTTCTTTTCAACCACATATTCCCCATCACATCAAACAAAAAAATGCATTCTTGTGGAAATAATGTGGCTCAAACAAGGGCTTAACATACTCGAGATTGAGACGGTTTCTTTATGTGATGTAACCTCATTATGTGGTTCTACAAATATTTTGAAGAACATGGTACTTTACAGTCAACTGCCTCATTTTCTTCCCTTTATGTTTTTTCTTTTTTTGAAATTCTTTCCTACTTGTCATGTTTGCATTTTTTTCATTTGTTTTTCTTGTTAGTTTTAACGGCTTGTTTTAAGCTAATTTCAGTACTTGATGTAACAGGTTAGTAGGCACCAGGAGTTCCAGGACAGTAGGTGCTTCTATGCTGTTTCTCTTGATGGTGTTAAACAAGATTTTTCCTACCGTAAATGTGTGGAGAATTTTCTCAAGGAAAAGTATACCGATAAGGCCGAAGGTTTTATTACCAAGTACTATAGAAGGCAGCAAGCTCGTAGTGGCTGGAATAAGGATCGTGGTTCTGCCTCAGGTGAAGCTAGAACTCCCGGCTGGAAACGGGATCGTACTCCGGCTGCAAATGAAGCTGGAACTCCATGCTGGGGCCAGGACCGTACTCCAGCGCCAGAAGAAGCTGGAACTCCAGGCTGGTGCCAAGAGCGTACTCCGGCTGCTGAAGAATCTGGAACTCAAGGCTGGAACACAGACCGCAGTACTCCGGCTCAAGATGAAGCCGGAACTCCAGGTTGGAACACAGGTCGTAGTACTCCAGCTCGAGATGAAGCTGGAACACCAGGTTGGAATGCAGGCTGTAGTACTCCAGCTCGAGGTGAAGCTGAAAATCCAGGCTGGAACACAGACAGTATTCGAGCTCGAGAGGAAGCTGGAGCTTCGGTATGGAACAAATCCGGCTCCAGATGAAGCTGGAACTCCTGGCTGGCAGTAGGGGGAAAGAAATGGCAGGTGTCAAATAGTAGTTTGCAGTCCTAGTTAGATTCGTGGATTCAATCTGGCATTAATGAATGACATGTTATGTTTTCAATTGCACCAGATGATGGATGGATGGATGGATGGATGGGTGTATGACTTCAAATTATTTTTGGTTGAATCAATGTTGTTTTAATTAATGCCTTTATGTAGTTCTCTTCCATGTTGCGTTTGTTGTCTAAGCAGGCTTAAATGCAGCACCATCATTTATTTTTTTATTTTTTTGAGTAGGTCACAGAACATATCATCTGTTTGTTTCATCGTCTGCTCGTCCATTTACTGACTGTGATGGTGATGTAGTACATAATCATGATTAGTAGTTTCTTACTACAATTATGATTTATCTTTTCTATTTTTAATATATTTTATCTTTTTATTCTTATTTCGTGTTTAAAATATAATTTTTTTTATTTATTAATTAGAACATGATTTTTAATTAGATTAGGATTTNTATTTATTAATTAGAACATGATTTTTAATTAGATTATGATTTTATTAGTTTCCTTATTTTAGTTTCCTTTTATTAATATAATTATGGATAATTTTGTTTATAAATATAGGAGTATTGTACACTTTTCAAGACAATCAATCATACATCAATACAAAACAAGATTATTTTAATATAATTCTTATTACAAGAATCTCATAAACGCTTTCGCACCAAAATTAGTATTAGAGCAAGAAATTCACGTCAAATTAATGGTCGACGATGGTCCGGTGGCAGTCGAATCTTCGACGACGAACAGAGGCTCGACAAACTTGAATAACGAATCGAGGGGATCGATAAAACCTTTCGTAACATCACACAGATGATGACTGCGTTGAATCTTGAAAGGAATCACGAGTCCATGGAGAAACAAGTAGACAAGAATTTGTAAACTTTAACTGCTATGAAAGTCGGTTGCTTCAGCAAGCTTCAAACACGACAACAGGTGACTAGATAATTTCCTCGAGTCCAAGATAAATTTGAATACACACAAGTTATCAAGGATTTTATGAAAGTCTATCGAGAAAATATAAAA